AAGAGATGGCATTTGATAGGGGTCTTAAAATAAGGAAAGAAATTAGAAATTAAGACGGGAAGAGAAATATTTCAGTTAATTGAATATGAAGTTCAGAAGGAAAGCAGAAAAGGTAACATTGGAAAAAATTTGAAGTCAGACTGGGAAGGTACTAAATCCCAGGCAAAAGGATCTGGACAACTTTTGTAACTAAATAGGAGTTATTAAAAGTGCTACACATCTCGCCTTGGCCGGTTGGCTCAGTGGTTAGAGAGTTGGCCGGCAGACCAGAGAGGCCCAGGTTCAGTTCCTGCTAAGGGCACATACCTCAGCTGCAGTTTGTCCCTGGCCCTGGTTGGCTGTGCAGGTGGCAGCCACTAGATGTGTCCCTTTCACGCCGATGTTTCTCTCTCTTCCTCTCACTCTATCTAAAGATAAATGCAAAAATGACCTTGGGTGAGGATAAAAAAAAAAAAGTGCTAGATATCTCATTAATATATAAATGGGGGCAAGAGAGATCAGACTGATAAACAGATTGGACAAAATTAGAAATTAAATCAGCCTCCATTTCCAGCTTCCTTGCTCCCAACATTTTTTTCAACTTTTTTTTTTTAAGAAAAAAACTTTTAAAATAATTTTTCTTTATTGATTTTAGAGAGAGAGGAAGTGAGAAGGAGAGAGAGAGAGATACTGATGAGAGAGAACATCAACTGGCCGCCTCCTGCATGCCCTCCACTGGGAGTCAGGCCGACAACCTGGGCATGTGCCCTGACCAGGAGTTGAACCGGTGACCTTTTGGTGCGTAAGTTCTATGCTCAACCACTGAGCCACACCAGCCAGGCTCAATTTTTGTTTTCAAGTTTTAAGTGGATAACCATGCTAACTAAGCAATAACCTAAAGAACTGACTTCATACTTTAGTCTGGTAAAACACTTTTTAAAAACAGGGGTGGGCCCTGGCCAGTTTGGCTCAGCAGTTAGAACATCAGCCCGCAGACCAATGAGTCATGGATTTAATTCTAGTCAAGGGCCCATACCTTGGTTATGGTTGGTCCCTGGCCCTGGTTGGGTCATGTGGGGGGCAACCAATTGATGTGTCTTTCTCACACTGATGTTTCTCTCTCCCTCCCTCCCACTCCATCTGATGATTAATGGAAAAGTGTCTTCGGGCGAGGATAAAAAAAATAATAAAATAAAAGCGGGTGGGCAAAAGTAGCTTTACAGTTGTATGACTCAGAATTCATTCTTGTATTATTATTTATTTAATTATTATATTATTTATTTGTATTATCTGTCTTATTAGTGTTGTTATTATTTTGTATTCTTACTTACGATTTACCTTTAGGCAATGATGGTTGGTAATTTAACCTTTTGCCCACCCCAATATATAGCAAATCAATTTGTCATATTTCAGGATATTTATAAATTGTGATTGTGCTATAAATGTTAAGGAGTAGGAAGCAGGAAACTTCTCTGATACTCCTTTCAAGGTGTTTGTTTACTATTCCACATCTCTGGCCAAAGGGTACTAGAAGGTAAAAACCATAACTATCTCCTTCCTTACCTCCTTTTCAAGGTTATTCTTTTTCAGCTCCTTTCTCTGTTAAACCCTCCTAGGTTTCCTGCTCTATCACATCGCTGTCTTGAACTTTCAGGTTCAGGCTACTGATACATTAAAAAGAGAAACCTCAAAAGAGGGACCACTGTCACAATGTCCAGCCACTTCCCTGGAGGCCTGGACAAGGACAGAGCTAGCCTCTGGGGTGCCTGGGACATCTGAGCTATGGAACTCTCTTGCTGGAGGCAGGGAGAAATCATAAATCTAGAAGTTTTGTATTAGCTCCTGGTCTTGCCAATTTGTCCACCCATTCTTTGGGACTGAGTCAATTAATCAGGCCACAAACACAGTTTCTTCTGCCATCTTTCAGGATCAGATTTGTACATAGAAGAGTCTGTGTGGAGCCATTTACTGAAAGGTAGTCACAGACCAAAAATGTCTCCCTAATACTATCTGAAATCCATTCATTAGGGATTTGTTTGAGTTAAAAACAAACATGATCCTAGAAAGTTTAAGTCAGAGGGAGCCTTGCTATCAGGTGCTGTGCTAGGAAAAGAATCTGATTAACCTAAACCACACAAAGGAACAGGGTTTGATGCAGGGGGTGGGCTGGGGAGGAAGACAGGGGTAAGGATGAAGGATAGAAAAATCTGTGAGGTCATTTGGGAACATGGTATATTTCCAAGGAGAAACCAGGGAGGACTGGAGAGAACCAAACAATAGAATGAGGGCACTGGGATATTGAAAGGTAGCCAAGCTAAGAAGTAGAAAAAGTGAGAGAGAGCCATAGCTCAGAGAGTTTGGTGAATGAGCTCCAAATGCTGACTTTACTTTGAGCTACTGCCAAGGTCCTCATTTACTCCCAAAGGCTCAACCCAGCTCTCACTTTCTGTGGGAGCATCCAAAGTGAGGTGGAATGTACCGAAACCTGGTAGGTAAGTGTGGCCAAATGAGGCTGGGAGTGAGACATGGAGAGCTGAAGCACAGGAAGAGAAGGTTTGAAATGGAGCCAAAAGAGTTGGAACCCAAAATGGGACCCAGTTCATTAGAATTACAGGTGTTTGGGGACTTTTATGTTTCCCAGACTAAATTTTATTCAAATTGTTTATGCTGGAAATTCTGAGTATGCTTGGGTCAAAGAAATATGTGATCGGCAGCCACCATTCAGAATTCACTGAGCTCCAATAAAACTGCTTCACTTGAGCTCAGAAAATGAAAACTGTAATAAGGCAAAAATTTGTAGAAACACAAACAATGAAAGTTAGTTTCTCCATAAACATTTCCAAAACATAATTACACGAATTATTTTCAAAAGTCCTTCAAGCCAAAGGTAATACATGAGTTTGGAGTGAAAACGCTCAATAGTAATGGCGTTGCCTCCACACCACCTCCATCTGCAACCACTGCTGCTCATTCCCCTCTCAAGAGATGCCCAGTCCTGGTGAGGCTTGGCCCGACCAGGGATACGGTCCTCCTCCTCCCACAGAGCCAGTGGCGAGCCTTCCAAGGTAAGCAAGACCCATCTGCTCATCTGTAGTCTCCTCCCCTCAATTCAGCTGCTGCTTAATCTGCTATGGGCATGACTATCTCGGTGTGTACCTCTACCTTTCTGCCTTTGTATATGTATAACTGTTTCTAATGCCCTCCTGGAGTGTATGCCCAATCCCACCTTAACCCTTCCTAGTTCATTCCCATTCCCCTTCTGCTAATGTGCTAGCGGCAGAGGCTCTCTGGAGGTTGACCATTTACCTGTCAGACATCTGACCCTAACATATTGGGTTCAGTCTTTCTAATCTCATACTCCTCCACTGAGATTTAGAGACTTTTTTCAGCTGTTATTTTTCACTCAGATGTAACCCTGCACACTCCCATGGGTAGTCAGTCCCCGTGTCTCCCTCATAGCACACAGCCTCTCCACACTGCTTAAATGAAAGCCGAAGTTAACAAAGGTTCCCTGCTCTTTTTCCCCATGTACTGTTTCCTACTGTTGTCCCTGCCTGTATGCCACCCTATCCAACACTTTTAACTGTTGTTATTAAAATTTTTTAATGGTCCCAGAATTAGAAAATTACAGTGACGCTTTCACGCTTGTTAAAATCCTGGCTTCTCCTTCTGTGTCAATTATTCTAATATGCGCAATGTCCCCATTCTTTAGTAACTCCCTCTTCTGCTTTATATACTGCAGCAGTCTCCCCCTTAGAGGTGGCTAAGTCCCAGCATCATTCTTTTGCAAGCAACTGTAAACCCTGTTCTAGATGTCACCATTTTTTCCCCCAACATATGTTACCGTATAGATAAGCTCTAACCTTGCTCTTCTGAATCCAACAGCACTGTTGAGCTAATAGCACCATCCAGTTACATTTACACAAGTACCTGACCTCACCAAATGTTTTCAAATTCATTTTTCTCTTATCTGAGCCTCTTGATAGCTCAGAGAAGGACCATTACTCTTCCAATTTTATAGAGGAAACCAAGATTCAGCAAGGATTAGGTGACTTTATTCAGAGCCAAGCAGGTATTTAAATGCTCAAGTCGAGACTTTAACATTTATGTCCAACCCCAACTCTTTTGCCATACCCATTTCTGAGAACACACCTAGCTGCCAAGCGAGCCCCACTCTGCTGGTGTAAGTCTGACAGGGGATGCTGCAGGCCCGGGACAGGTAGATGCCTTGGACCATGTCACTGTTTGTACTCTACTTCCCCCTCCCAGTACCAAGTCTTGACACAAACTCACCCCTCCCAACTTCCCATCAATCCATACTTCTTCCATGTTAACCAAGTTCTTTTTTTCAGCTCAGAACATAGGCTTTCCCCTTCTCCACTCATACCCACTCTGCCAAGAGAAAGGAAGCAGCCTTCTTCTCTTACCCAATGACTTATACTCTTTGGCTCAAGAACCACAAACTCCTAACCACAGACTGTGTTAGTGTCCACTTATTTATGGTTTGAGGTCCATGTTCTCTATCCCCCCCCCACCCCCGCCCTGTTCAAAGCTATCCATTTGAGAGTGTAAGCTCCTGGCCCAGAAGGCTCTATTTAGCCAGCTGTCGGGACTCAGCACAATGCCTTGCATTCAAGGGCACATAAACATCGACAATTATGATTTAAAAAAAAAATTACTCCTGTCTTTGATCTGAAATAATAATAGAAACCAGCTGCCAAAACCATTAAGAGCATTATTTACTTCAATTTAGAGTTTCTGAATAGGAATTAGCTAAAAAGAGCTGTAAAGTGAAAGACAAGGGCACATTTGTTTACATGCAGTCCCAAAGGTATAAAACAAAATACTGAGTAATTTGTTATTAGCTGCCCATCAACAACAGTCCAGCTCCACTGCATAGCAAGGTCACCCTGCATAAGAGGATCCTAGTTACCAGCATCCCCATTACCAGAAGGAGGTGATCAGCTATTCCAATTGCACATGTGCTCTAGAAAAGCAACATCTGGCTGCATATTACTTACCGGTTTATCCTTGATGGTGGGGCTTGACACGCACAGGTACAGCTTCCCATCTTCTTCTAGGCAGGCATCTATCAAAGCTTGTACTGAGCTCTCCTCCTGGAACAGCAGAAAGGCATAGCCTTGGGGAGAACAAAAACAAAAGGGTGTGGGAGGAAATCAGTAAACTGACTCAAAATACCATTTAAAACGTTATCTAGTGTTTTATTCTGGCAAATTCTTACTAAAATCTAAAACCTGAAGTGGGACCCAGGGAAGTTACAGTTACTGAGACCCTCACATGCCAGGCATTGTATTAGGTGCTCTATGGACACTATCTTGCTTTAGGCTTGACACATGCAGCCACATGGAGGCACCTTGAAGACATTACACTAAGTGAAAAGAGACAGGCACAAAATACCACATATTGTATGATCCCATGTATACTGAATGTGCATAACAGGTATATCTACAAAGACAAAAAATAGATTAGTGGTTGCCTAGGCCTGGGTGACTGGAGGGAATAGGTACAGTTTCTTTTGGGGATAATGAAAGTTTTCAAAAATCAATTGTAGTGATGGTTGCATAAATCTGAGAACATACTGAAGACCACTAAACTATATGTTTTAAATGGGTGAACCATATGGTATGTGAATTATATATCAACAAAACTTGTCCCTAAAACCCCCCAAAAAGCCCAACAATAGGCCAGTGTGTTACTTCTGATGATGACGTTCTGTTTCTCCAAGGATACTGTCTCATGACAGAGCTACAATCTATAAACATGAACACTAGTGCATGGTTTCCATGAACACAGCCAGCTTTGTTCAGTTCAATTCAGTACGATTTACTGAGCAACTCTGCAAGTGGGACACGATCTATGGATTATGAGAAAACAGATGAACAAAACTAGGTTTTTTGCTGTCAAGAGACTTAGGTAGTAGAAGAAACAGACATTTAGACAATTAACTACTAGTTACAAAGTTGAGGGAGAGATAAGTGGAGACAAAAGGCACTATGGAACCTCAGAGGAGTAAGGACTCTGACTTGGGAGAATCTGCAAAGACTTCAAAGAGGACAACAGATGTTCAAGGGGCCAACTCTGGCACTTGCTGTCACACTGGCATTCATGAATGACAGCTGGGCACGGGCCCATCATGAGCTAGTCTAAGCCTGAGCATTCAACTACTCAACCTCTCTACAGCCCCTCCAGCTTTGCTATGTCTCTCAGCTGTCACCTCCACTCCCAGTCCTGCAACTGACCTCAGAGGAAAACATCACCAACACAGTTCTCCTCTGGTGCACCGCGTGCCAGAAAGATGTAAGTAGTGGAAAGGGATAAGAACCCTCACATTCAGAAGATTCTCACACATCAAAGATGGTGATCAACTGGCCTAGAAACAAAGCTCTCTGGAGTCCTGGGCAGCACATGGCAACATTGGCAGTGGATAATGAATAATGGTCACTCTTTTTAAAATCCTTTTTCTAAACTCCTCATCTACTATACAGAGCATCCAAGCAAACACAGCAGGAACAAGATCAAGGACTACCCAGCACACCAAGTGTGACCACTGCAACAGGCAGAAGCCAACAAACAAGGGAAAGCACCAAGCCCACAGGAGTGGGAGCGCAGATGCGACGGGGAGGCTGCCTACGTGTAGGACCCAAAGCTGTTTTCTGGGCTTTGCTCCCAGGCCAGATGGGTCAGAGGGTTCAGCAGGTGGCCAGGCAGGAAAATAAAACCTAACTGCAAAACTATAAAAGATAATACATAATTTCTTCCTATCTTTTCTCTCCTGGAAACAGTATCAAACTATCACCAAGCCCCAGGGACTCTATTAAAAATTCAGTACTTTCATTTCATGTGAAAACATTAATTCCACTTGCCAAAGAGAATATTAGAGATGAGAGTAGTTAAAAAATGCAAATATCACAAAGAGGAGGTGTTAGCATGTGCTCTCAAACCTCCTGCCTCAAAAAAAAAAAAAAAGAGAGAGAGAGAAAGAGAACTCATGGACATGGACAACAGCGTGGTGACTGCGGGCATGGTGGGGGAGTGGTGGAAGAGGGCATAGAGAGGATAAATGGCGATGGAAAAAATAAAGAAACTGCCCTGGCCGGTTTGGCTCAGCGGTTAGAGCATCCGCCTGCGGTCCGGAGAGACCCGGGTTCGGTTCCCGCTAAGGGCATGTACCTCGGTTGCAGTTTGTCCCCGGCCCTGGTTGGTCGTGCGGGTGGCAGCCACTCGATGTGTCCCTTTCACATCGATGTTTCCCTCTCTCTCTCTTCCTCTCTCTCCCTCGCACACTGTCTGTACAAAAAAAAAAAAAAATGGAAAAATGTCCTCGGATGAGGATTAAAAAAAAAAAAAAAAAGAAAGAAAAAATAAAGAAACCTACAGTACATGCACACAAGATGAAGAGAAAAAAATCACTGTAAATCACCATGGAAAATCATCAAATAACAAAAACAAACAGGAAGAGAGGAATAAAAAAATACAAAAAGATGGAAGCTTGGGTCATTGCTTTGAGATTTTCTTTTTCTCTAATACAAGCATTTAATGCAAAATATTTCCCATCATGTACTGTTTGTGTAACACCAACAAATATTGATGTGATATATATATTATCCTCACCAAGGACATTTTTTTTTTTGCATTTATCTTCAGATAGAGTGGGAATGAGAGAGGGAGGAACAGAGAGAGAGAAATATCGACGTGAGAGAGACACATCGTCTTGATGCCACCCACACAACCCCAACCGGGGCCAGGGACAAACTGCAACCAAGGTACGTGCCCTTTGTGGAAATCGAACCCGGGACTCTCTGGTCCACGGGCCGATGCTCTAACCACTGAGCCAAACCGATCAGGGCGATGTGTTATATTTTTATTTAATTCAGTTCAAAATATTTTATAATCTCAATGTTGGATCTTGTCTGACCCATGTTTTATTTAAAGTATAATGTTTGCTTTTCAAATATGTGGGGGATTTTCCATATCTTTCTGTTATTAATTTCTATTTTAATTTTATTGTGGACAGAGAATATACTTTTGGATTATTTCATTTGAATCCAGTTAAATTTATTGAGATTTGTGTTGTAGCCTAGAATATGGTCTGTCTTGGTGAATGTTATACAGCATCTAAAAAGAATATATATTCTGCTGCTATTGCATAAAGTTTTTCATAAACATTAAATAAATCAAGTTCACTGTATAGGTCAAGTCTCCTATGTCTTTACTGATTTTCTATTAATTACTAAGAGGGGGTTGAAATCTCCAACTAAAGTTGTAGATTTATATATTCTCTTTTCAGTTCTATCAGTGTTTTGCTTCAAGTATTTAGAAATTATGTTTTTAGGTACATAGACATTTAGGATTGTTATATCTTCTTAACAAATTGACCCCCTTGTCTGGCCAGTGTGGTTCAGTGGTTGAGCGTCAACCTATGCACCAAGAGGTCACCGCTTCGATTCCTGGTCAGAACACACTCCCAGGTTGTGGGCCAGATCCCCAGTGTGGGGCATGCAGGAGGCAACCAACTGATGTTCTCTCTCATCGATGTTTCTATCTCTCTCTCCCTCTCACTTCCTCTCTCTCTAAAATCAATAAAGGAAAATACATTTTTTAATTGACTTCTTTATCATTATGTAATGGCCTTCTTTAGCCCTAGTAATAAAATTCTCTATCATAACAACAACAACAAAAAGAACCTCCTGCCTCACCAGGTTAAATCCTGGCACAGATCATCCACAAAGGTCCTAAGGGCATACAGGATATCTTGTTCTTGGAGAGAACCCTGTCCATGTACACTATGCACAGGCACATCAACAAGGCCCAGAGATAGGGCATGCTCTGTAAGCTGGGAATGAGACATGCTTCGTGAGCTAGGGCTGTCCCCAGCTCCTTGCCTCTGCAAGGCCACCAGGCTGCTTGTACCCTTCCTGCACATCACTGCCCACCTTCTACAATCTTCCACATCAAATCCTGCACTCAGTTCAACTTGGGCATCAGAGGAAAAGGAGGGTATATCCCCACAGCAGCTGAGTAGCTACCACAAAAGCACACCTATCTCATAGTCATAAATGTCAACATTGGTGGTGGGCGAGTGAAAACAACTGGAAGTCACAAGTAAAAGCCTGCTACAAGACTGTTACCAAGAAAAATATCTACAGGCAACTTATTTTGCTTTCCCAGGGAATGGCCCATAATACGTTACCAATTTCTTCAGGATGGCTCTTTTATAAAAAATCATTTCCGTTCCCTGGTCAGCAAGGGGCCACTCTCAGTAATGACAATACTGTCTTAGCACTACAGATAAGGTATGTGACTCAAATCCAGCGATTTCCTTCAATCCTACTTCCTACCTCAGGCCTTCCAACCAAAACAGAATACACCAGAAACACTCAAAAACACTCATGAAAACAGCTTTATGATACTTTCATCTACTAAAACTTCTGATAGATACCTCTAGGTCAAGCAAACCAAGATGACAACAGAAATCAGGGGATTTCTAAAAAATCAGGAAGAAAGACTCCTTCGAACACATTTTCCTCCCGATCTTTAGAAATTTAAGGTCAAAGTAAAAGTAGAAAAAGATCCCTTCAAGAATAATACACACGGTCAATGTAAGACAGAAACTAAATCAATGATTTACTAAAAGGCAAATTCCACGTGATACTATGAATCGAGTTTTGGACTAGGAGTCAGAAGGTCTTGATTTGGGTCTAAGTCCTAACATTTGCTGTGTGTGGCAACAACATTTAATGGTTACCACCTACTGAGCATCTACTATACACCAGGCACTGTTCTAAGTGCCTTATGCATATTGACTCATTTCATTTTCACACACACCCATGAGGTAGGCACTATTTTAAATTCTGTATTACAGTTAAAGAAACTACAGAGTGATTAAGAGACTTATTCAAGGTCACCCAGTAGTAACTGGTGAAACTATGAACTTGACTTAAAATGTAATTTAAAATGTGTAAGTCTTGCCCTGGCCAGTTTGCTCAATGGTTAGCGTGTCAGCCCGAGAACCAAGGAGTCATGAGTTTGATTCTGGTCAAGGGCACACATCTGTTGTGGTTTGGTCCCCAGCCATGGTTGGGGCCATCCAGGAGGCAATCAATAGGTGTGTCTCTCTCA